TCTCACATTCCTGGGATAAATCCCACTTGGTCATAGTTTATAATCCATCTAAATTGCTGCAGAATTTGTTTTGCTGGTGTTTTCTTGATTTTCATCTATATTCATGAAGGAAATCTGAATATAGTTTTCTTCTTTTGTAATGTTTTTGTCTGGCTTCAGTATCAGGGTAATACTAACCTTACAGAATGAGTTAGGGAGTATTCCCTCCTCTTCAGTTTTTTGGAGGCATTTAAGATGAAGTGGTGTTAATTCTTCTTTAAATGCTTGGTTAAATCCACCAATGAAGGCTTCCAGTCCTGAGTGTTTTTGTTGTTGTTGGGAGGTTTTGATTAATTATTTAATTTCATTGTTTTTTATATGTCTACTCAGATTTTCTATTTCTTCTTGAGTCAGTTTGGTAGTTTTTGTGTTTCCAGGAGTTCATCCATTTCATCTAGGTTATCCAATTTGTTGTCACACAGTAGTTCATAATATTATTCTCTTGTTGTTGTTTTGCCGTCGAGTCGGCCCCGACTCATACAACCTTTTTATTTCTACAATGTCAGTAATGCCCTTCATTTCTGATTTTAGTAATTTGAATCTCCTTTTTTCTTAATCAGTGTAGCTAAAGTTCTGATAATTTTGTTGATCTTTTCAAAGAATCAACTTTGTGTTTTATTAATTTTTTTTCTATTTTGTTTATCTCTGCTCTAATCATTTGCTTTCTTCTGCCAGCTTTGGGTTTATTTTGTACTTCTTTTTCTAGTTCCTCAAGATGTACAGTTAGGTTATTAATTTGCAATCTTTCTTCAATTTGATATAGACATTTATAGCTATTAATTTTCCTCTGAGCAGTGCCTTCCCATAAGTTTTGGTGTGTTGTGTTTTTATTTTCAATTGTATCAGTATGTTTTCTAGTTTGTCTTGTGGTTTATCATTGATCCATTGGTTACTTCAGAGTGTGTTATTCCATGTATTTATGAGTTTTCAGTTTTTCTTCTATTATTGATTTTTAGTTTCATTGTTTGAAAATGATACTTTGTAGGATTTTTTAAAAAAATTATTAGGACTAGTTTTGTACATTAATATATGATCTATAATATAACAATATCTATAATAATTATAAATATAGTTATATGCACTTGGGAAAAATATATATTACTGTATGGAGTGTTTTATATATATATCTCTTAAGTCTAATTGGTTTATATTGTTGTTGGAGTCCTGTATTTCCTTATTGATATCTCTTCTGGATATGTAGATTCATGTATTTCATCAAATTTAGGATGTTTGTGGTTATTATTTTTTCCAATATTCTTTTATATATTTTATAGATTCCTAAGAGCAAGGTTTGTGAGGCTACCAAAATAGCTATTGATGTGGGTTTCCGTCACATTGATGCAGCTTACTGCTATCAAAATGAGGAGGAGGTTGGAAAAGCCATTCGAGAGAAGATTGCTGATGGTACTGTGAAGAGAGAAGACATATTCTACACTACCAAGGTGCTGTGTGTGGAGTGATAATAGGTCACTGGCAGCTCAGATACGTTATTTTGAAAAGAAAAAAAAAAATTGTTCTTATTTTAAATAATTTATTTACTTCCTAACATTGTAGAGGTCATATATACCATAACTGAAAAAACCCAAACCCACTGCCATTGAGTTGATTCTAACTCATATCTTTTGGATTTCTGAGATGGTAAACCTTTACAGAAGTAGATTGCCCAGTCTTCCTTCCACGGAGTTGTTGGTGGGTTTGAACCACCAAACCTTCTAGTTAGCAATCAAATGCCTTAGGCACTGAGTCACCAGAGTGCCTTGGAGGTCATTAGAGAAATATAGAAAACAGAGAAACACAGTTCCTCAACTTCTCTGAACATCAAAAAGCATTCATTTGTAAACTATGAAAATGACACTTACAATCCTTTTTTGACTGTTGTAAGGATTAAGTAAGCCACTACACATTCATCCCTTTTATTCTTCAGGAGATTCTCAGGGCATATGGAAATGAGGTGGAAGTATTATTTAGAAAATGGAGTCTCACTAGCAAATACTGTTTTCAGTCAACAATTGAAATTACTGAAATTTGTAAAATTTTCTTAGAAAGCAGTGATTCAAACAAATAGCAGTATTCCATTAATGGCCTAATTTATAATAGTGGCATTACTGCCTTTGCAGGCCCTCCCTCTGGCATAGGCCTGCCCACTGCCACCACTGATCCTGAGGTCATTTTGATGTCAGCCCTCTAACAGTGACACCACTGTGGAAAGCCCTTCTTCTAATGTAAAGAGGGCTGATGTCTCAATAGAATGAATCCTGTATGTGTGTACATCAATGACGACTTGTTTCTAGAATGTGGATTTCTCAGCAAAACTGTTTTTAGGCATTCATTATATAGAAAAGTGGATTCTATTTTCCTTCCCTACTATTTCTTTTTTTCTTTTTTAACTTGTATTGTGGTGCAAACATACATAACAAGACATTCGCCAACACAGCAACTTCCACATATACAGCTCAGGGACATTGATGACATTTCTCATGTTGTACCACCATTATTGCTTGCCATTTCTTTACTCTCCATTCAAAGGAGAATTTTTTTAATCCCTTAAACATTTAGGTTATTTTGCCTGGCCCATGTATGTTTTACTTAAAAGTTTTCTTACACTCCAGGGACTTTAATAAGTCTCAGTATCCCGTTAATGGCTTGATTTATAAGTAGCATCAATTTCTCCTTAGTTCTTAATATTTTTACACTGTCTGTGTGGTTTGTTAATCACTGTTCAATCTTTTAACTATGTTTAATCTTGCTCCTCAAATGTGTTAAAATCATAAACCACTTTTAATTTCTTTTGATCATTGCAGCTTTGGGCTACTTTCCTTTGACCAGAATTGGTCCGACCAGCTCTGGAAAGATCACTGAAGAAACTTCAACTGGACTACGTAGATCTCTTCATTATTCATATGCCAATGGCTATGAAGGTCAGCTTTTTGTTCTTCTTCATTATGCCAAAGACTGTTTTAGCACTGCTATTAGAACCTCTATTGGCTCATTCTGGTTAGGTACACTCAGTTCTTAGTGAGAAGGGGTAGATGCGATGAGGTGGTTAGGAATGCTAAATGATTTTTGACTCTTCTTGACAGTTGAGTCACTGCCATGTCAAGATATTTATCCCCATGCCCCAAGTTTATAGGGATTGAAGTTCAATGGTCTTAGTGCCTCCATCTCAAAGTGTTGAGGACCATTGGTGGTGTGGTAGATAAGGCATTTGGCTGCTAATGAAGTTCAGTGGTTCTAACCCACTAGCCACTCCACGGAAGAGAAAGGAATATAGGGCAATCTACCTACATAAAGATTTACAGCCTGTTGGGGGTCACTATGAGTAGGAATCAACTCAATGGCAGTGAGTTTAGTTTTTTGTGTTTTCTCAAGTGTTGAGGACATGACCCTACATGTCTAAGTGACTATATTCCTCTGTGTAGTCCCTTAGCATTTAGAGTTCTCAGGAATGTTGAGTTACAGCAGAGATAAAATGAGTAATTTCCACCTTTTTTTAGTGTAACCTCTTGGTCCCAGTCAAAGGAGAATTACCTAGCATGGTCCATATTGAACAGCTGGGCTCCTCTTAGCTTCTCTTATCCATCTTTTCATCACAATGGAGGTTTGCTAATCACAGCTAGGTATTCTCACTATTTTTGTGTTGGGCTGTTATAAATTCAAGTTAAAACACATTGATTAACAGTTAAAGCCTATCTTCCTAGTCTTTTCTTTTCTTTTTTTTTTTCATCCCTGGAAAATAAAATAAATTTCAACTATATGCAGAAGTCAATTTTAGTAAAGTTTGGGAATGTTAATGTGTAAGAAGGGTGGAGGAAATGGTCTTTGCTATCAGTCCCTCACTGATTCTGATAGTCTTTTTACCTAAGTCCTCTCTTACACAACACAGACACACACACCCCAATTGATATTCACAATCTCCTTAAAGTTTTGTGACCAAGCTCCTTAGGCACCAGAAAGGTAATTCTTAAATAAAACCTTCTTTATCCTTTTTCTCTATGTATTCCAGCCTGGGGAGGAGCTTCTACCAAAAGATGGTAATGGGAAAATTATTTTTGATACAGTAGACATCTGTGACACATGGAACGTAAGTACTGTTACAGACACCCAGGAAGTACTGTGTGGCAAAGTATAGATCACTGGATGGAGAATCAGAAGAAATTAACTATGACTTCATCAATTGTCTGACCTCAGTGACCTTGTCTGTAGAGTGAAGGAGTTGAACTGGATAGCCTCTAAGATCTATTTTTAGTTTAACCCTCTGTGTTTTAAGTAGAGCTTTCCTTGCCCCATGGACCAGGTTGAGGATGTGAACTCTTATTATAAAAGGATTCAGGAGAAATAAACTCAACAGGAGTTAGAATTATATATAGAGAGAAATATACTCATACAGGGGGGGGGAGAAGCTGCTGTTGATGGCAGAAGACAAAATGCAGAAGAAGAGTGAAACCTGCCCTAATCTATCCTATCCTATTTTTTTCATCCTTACAGGAAAGAGGAAGCAGCAAAGCCCTCTATTAGATGAAATCCTGAGAATTTCTCTTGGCTACGATATTTGTTAAAATACTATTACGTGCACTAGGGCAAAATAGACATCGTTCTGTGGGGGCATGGGAGAAAGGGACAGGTGGGGTTTAAAAACATTTTAATTATATATACTGTCCTGGGTGTGCATGAAATAGCATCAAGGAGACAAATTATGTATGTATAGCAATAAGGTTAATTAGAAAATAATGTATTTAAGTGGTAAAGCTGCTTGAGCCGGTCAAGTTGTTATATACGTTATAACAGATTTTCAGTTTCTAAAAAGTTCAAAGTCAGAGGAAAAGACCACATTACAATAACATTTACCAAATATTTCCTTCCTCCACAGGCTTTAGAGAAATGTAAAGATGCAGGTTTAACCAAGTCCATTGGGGTGTCCAATTTTAATCACAAACAGCTGGAGATGATCCTGAATAAGCCAGGGCTCAAATACAAGCCTGTCTGCAACCAGGTGAGTGAGCCCCCTAAGCCCACTGAGGTAGTCTCTCCTTCCTGCTCTTCATGCTCTCTTTCCTTAATTAATATTATCAATGTTTCTGGCTTGATATCAACTATCAAAGATGATAGTATCTTTTACTGCAACAGAAAAGACAAAGAAGGAGCTGGTTGAGTGGATGAGAAGAGTATGACTTCAGTTATTTAAAAGTCAATTTGAGGTTCTTCTGAGACACCTAAATGGGTGTGGTGAGTTGACAGATGTCAAGATGGGTCTAGGAGTTCAGGAAAACAGTTAGAGCTCAACATAAAGATTTTGGTGTCATTGCTTTATGGATGGTGATTAAACTCATAGACATGGATTAGCTCTCCTAGGGAGAATTCATAG